TGCTGTCCCTGCAGTGAATTGAAATTTCTCCTGAAGAACCTCGATTGATTCTGGACATCCTGGGTAAGTCCACTGCGTTCCTATTGGATATGGAGGCAAATTTTTCCTGCCTACCCTTCTTTAGAGTGAAACTCTCCTCCAGAAGCACAAATGTTGTGGAAGTGGATGGAAATCCTAAGGCCCAAAGATTCACTCCCAAAGTCCCTTGCAGCTTTTGGGAACTAATATTTGCTCACCAATTCCTTATCATCCCTGAATGCCCTACTCCCTTTTGGAAAGAGACATAATGTTCAAACTAGATATGGCTCTAACAGTCCACTCAGCCTACAACATATTCTCAATGGGAAGTCAGCCAGAAATTACTGCTGAGGTGGAGTCACAAGTGAGCCCTTTGACTTGGTGTGATGGGACTCCAAGCCACACAAAATAATGGCTCCCATCTGGATCTTCCTTACCGACCCTGCCCATTTTCCCAACAGGAAACAATTCCCACTGGGGAATACAGGATGGCATAAGACTTGAGGCTGGCTAATGAGTCTGTAGTCCCCATCAATTCACTGGTGGAAGATCCATACACTCTCCTTGCCCAGATACCATGGGTACAAATTGGTTCTCTGTCTTGGACATAAAAAACACGTTCTTCTCTTGCACCTGGATTCCCAATTCCTCTTTGTTTTTTAGTGGGAGGATCCTAAGGAAGGAAAAAGGCAACAACACACCTGGACAGTCCTATCCCGAGGAGTTAAAGATAATTCTCATTTGTTTGCTTGGCTCTTAGCCTGGACTTGAGGGACCTTCAACCGAAAGCAGGCGGGATTCTCCAGTATATGGATGACCTCCTGAGGCCACCCAGAAGGCCCCTAGTACTAACACCATCCAAGTCCTCAATTTCTTAGCTAAAAGGGGATACAAGACGTCAAAGAAAAAGGCTGGAGCTTCAGCAAACAGTTAAGCAATGCTAAGCTTATCTGCTTTGAAACACCCCCCTCTTCTGGGTACTTGTAGCGTGGATCTTCCTTGTGATTTTGGACAGCTGCAGTAAAAACAGGGTCTTACTCCAAGGATGGAACTATGCTGTATAGTGCTCAAATGCCTCCACTAAGTACTCCACTTAACCATCAAACACAGCCATGGCTCCTACCTGGCATCCTTACAGGAAGGTGGTTTCCTTGGCCCTCAACCTACTAAGGAAAACCAATTCAACCTCTCATACAAACTGTTGGGTATGTGTGGACTCCTCCTGAGGTAGAATGGGGACAGCCTATCCAATTAGCTTTAATGAATGGGCAAACCTTCTTTGATATCCATGGTCAATTCCATTCCTGTTCTCGAGCACTACAAAAAGAAAGGGCCACCTTGAAAATGTAGATCTGCAGAGCCAGGCTCCCATTTGCCTACAAGCCAACTGGGCAAAGGATACTCTACTAGGACACCTGAAGCCCTTCCAATGCAATCTGACCATTATGGTTTTAGGAACCTTCATCCCAGGGATAATTGCAGGGAAGAGGGGAGAGGAACCCACAGGTACTAGATGGGGACCAAGAGAACTGGAATACCAAACATTACTCTTCCTGATGGAACTCTAGACAACAGTTTTGTCCCAAATACTCAAGAAAGGAATGCCCAGGGAGTCACTGGTTTGAACCCTATCGGCCTCTAGGATGTAGTAAGTTGGCACATGGTACAGGCAAGTTGGGACCCAAAGCCTGGGGTTTGGTGACCTCAGAGGATATTCAGTCTTTTGGGAAAACAAGACTCATAGTACTATTCAACCAGAGTTTCCTTGCCTGGGGCCCCTAACCTCTATGACCCTGATTGGCCACTATAGGATAGAATACTGTACACCAGGAGAGACTATGGCAGCAGTAGGGGCTTGGTACATTCGGGTTTATCTCCCTTCTAATTCAGTGACATCTTCCACAGGGATGTACTTCTATGTGGGAGACAGACATATCTATGCCGACCTACCAAATGCACAGGAACATGCACCTTGGCTTGTGTTTCCCCTGCTGTTCATCTGGAGCCCAGAAAAGTTCTCAAACCCCAAACCAAGGTTCAGATAAGACTGTGAACAAGGGGCCATGACATTAGTTCCTTTGCTGCTAGGAACTGGGGTCACACTGGAAGTCACGGCAGGTATTGGAGGGATTATCACCGCAATTTGAATATACAAAAACCTGTCCAGAAAATATAGAAAACCTAAATAAGATAATCTCCACTCTTCTGGACCTCAAAATGCAGGTTGATTCCCTAGCTGGCATGGGACTGCAAAACAGGTGTGCACTGGAAATCACTACTGCCTCCCAGGGAAGGACTCGTACCATGCTAGAACGCTTGCTTTTATGGGGAAATAAGAACAACATAAACCAAATACTGGAAAAGGCCAGAGACATCAGGGAAAGAGCCACAAAAGGATGGCTTTCTTGGGAAGGAACTTGGTCCTTCCTATCTCATGGTTGTCTCTCTTTCTTGGACCCTTGTTTGTAATCCTGCTGATTTTGCTCCTCAGCCTTTGTCTGGTTAACTGCCTTTGTAGACTCATCTCATCAAGGTAGCAAGCCGTGAGCTTTCAGATGCTAGCCTAGGCTCTCCAGCCCATTGAACGGGATCTGATTGGTGAATGCATCAGTCACCCATATACTCTGGTTCCAAATTTAGACAGATAGTAGGACAAGGATACCCTGTAGGCAAGTCAACCACTCCTGATAAAAATTGAAGAAGTTACAGAGAAAAGAGGCCTCCTCTCCCTCAGGAACCCCAAAAAGATTTTCAGGGATCTTGTCTCTCAGGGGAAAGTTGATATATGGGTCTAGAACATACAGGGTGAATGTGAAGACTAACAGGGGAGATGAGATCTGAACCTTCCCCAGACCGCCCAGAAACGTCCCCTTTGTAGGCTAACATTGCAGCTTTTGGGGTCTCTTGCATCCTGCAAAGAGGAGAGGAGTGATAACCAGTTCTGAAAGCCTGTGCAGTGTAGCCCACCTGTCACCTTTAGTAACCTTGTAGGTATTTTTCCTACTTAAGACGTCATGAATATTACCTGTATCTCATGTATACAGTAACAGAGTGAATTATGGGCAGAGGGATGGGCAGTCAGAAATAAGTTAAATAACATCTGACTTTCAATAATCTCTAATCATCCTAGCCCCATCTGCAAAGACAATAGTTGTTCCCACCAGCCTGACCTAAGCTACCTAGCCACTCTTTCTCCCTTAATGGCACTACTTTCTCTTTAATAAACCTTGCTGCTTTGCTATGCACTCCTTGTCTCTTGGACCAATTTCTCACTGAATAAAGTTACTTCATGATATTCTTAAAGTTTCAGTGTTCCACTAAATCGTAAGATTAGAAGCATTTTGATCATGATATGCCAAAAGAAACCAAGTCATTTAACCCAACTCCCAAGTTTAATAAGCTAGAAAACTAAAATCCAAGGTAAACTGAGCAGCCTGGTTTATGTCACAAACCAACACCTGACCCAGGGCCCCAACCTTGTCATCAGTAAGACTCATCAGTAATGCTAGTCACAAAATTCTCTGATGTGAATTTTAACTCCCCTTCATCAACAGAAAATGTTATCCTTTTGTTACTCGTTTCAAGATTTTCCTTGAAAATCTTGCTATATGTGCATTGTACCACATGTGGTGGCAACAAGTAGCAAGCCTAAAACCCTACAACTAAAATAAGAAGAAAAAATTTCTAACATTGTTACAGAATTCTCATCCATAAATTCACTTAAACTTTTTCTTCAAAATTTTATTTTTTTTGCTTGCTTCTTGTTAATGGCTTTTTAAAATATTTACTTGCATAGAGAATATTTCCAAATTTCATGTCCTTTTGTTGGTTATGTAATTTCTTGCAAAAAAAATCTATATTTAATCTAAAGAAGAACCTCTCAAAGTGACCACATTGCCAGTTAATTGGCTATATATTTCTTAGGCTCATGTTAAATATAATTGCTCATTCTAAGAAAGGTTGTTTAGTTAGACTAAGAAAATATTTCTTAACAAGTGATAATAGCCCTTAAAAATAAATGTAAGTTGGTTTTCTTTTACACAACAGAATAAAAATACTGTTTTGTTTCTTTAGACAGGGTTTGCTATGTAGCCCACACTGGTTTCAAACTCAGCCTCCTAAGTGCTGGGATTATAGGTATGTATCACTATGGTAAGTGTTCTACCAATAAGTTAATGTTATTAAAGCCAAACTCCTTCCTATTGGTGGTGTACATTTATAAATATGTAAAACTTCTAAATTAGCATCTACCTACAGAACAATATAGAATTGCACAAAACACTTAAGAATTCCTTTTTTTTTTTTTTTTGGTAGCAGTGGGGTTTGAACTCAGTTCCTCATACTTGCTAGGCAGATGCTCTACCACTTGAACCACTTAGCCAGTCACAAAACATTAAAATACTGGAAAATAGAATCAAATAGAAATTAACGTTGTTTTCCGCTAAAAAAAACTTCACTTTTTCTTCATAGTCATGTTTTACTTTTATATGTTGCAATGGACTAAATGTGCTCTCTCAAAATGCGTATGTTGAAGCACTAACTGCCTTGTGATGGTAGCCAGAGGTAGGGGTTGGGAAGGGAATAAGCCACATGGAAGGATCACCCCAGGACTGGGATGAGTGTCCTTATAAAAAGACACAAAAGGGCTTAGCCTCTGCTAAGTGAGGACCAGGAAGGTGACCACCTGCATTACCTGGACTTGGACCCTCTCCAGACACAGGACCTGCTGGCACCTTGATCAGGCATTTCCCAGCCTCTAGACTATAAGAAATAAATGTTTGTTCTTTAAGTCACACACTCTTAGCCTGAACTAAAACAGAGGCTTACAAATTTTAGTTTATTTTAAAAACTACTCTTTTCAAGAAGTTTAATATTTTAATTTGATTTGCTTACAATCATATCAAAAGAGATTAGAAAGGCAATACATTTAAAGAACCTGATTCTTTGAAACAATCATTAAAAAGCAAGTTTTCATGAGGAGAGAGACGACCGGTGAATTTCTTGAGAGCCAGGTTCCCTGTGGATGTGAAGACTCTGTAGTCACAGGCTCCAGCCTCCATCAATGATGACAGGGTTGCCTGTGACATAGGCCGACTGCAGTGACAAGCACAAAGAGACAAACAATTAATCAAGTAGGACACGGGCTGTGTTTCTAAAAATTTTTTTCCATGATTGGGATAACTGAACAATTGACTCTTACACTGACAGGTAACCTCATTTACAAATTGAATTTGGGAAAATCCAAATTAAAATTTGGCTGATTCTCGTGATAGGGAGCTACATGGTTTCTGCTAGCATGCCAGTACCTGTTACTTTCTAAGCAGGGCCAATTAGGTATTTGGTTTCACAGAATGAAGGAGGGGTGATATATAGTCATTCCCCAAATGAGGGTAAAGTGTAGGCTAAAATAGAACATTTCATTTTGAAGCTCTGAACTAAACAGTTGCCGAGTTTTAGAGCACTGATACACTTTTCAACCTAAGTGTCAGTAATTAACTGGCCATGTAAATGACCAAGCAGTTTTTAAAAACAGTGTTTATTTAGTTGATCAATATACTGAAGTGCACTATTTTTAAATTTTCCATGAGTAATAATTATTATAACCTATTATACTATGAAATAATATTCTATACAAGTTTTAGATATCCAAAGCTGTATAAAACTAAAGGATTTGAAGAAATAATCACTGGTTTATGCTCACAAAAGCTTCCATTTCCTGAAGAACTAAAACTGAAGTGATCACTGAAGGAAAAGCTTAAAAATCTTTAAAAGTAAAATGGATAATAAAGTCTTAAATTTATGTTCTTGGTTTTAAATTGATCTAAAGCTTGAGACAATGGAAGAGGCAGAAGGAAAGGCATTATAGTATGAGTACAGAAAAACTTAAAGTTCAATATATGAAAACTAATAATATAAATTATAAAACAAGGCAGGGGCGTTAGTCACTTTACCAAAGAAATGACCCCCAAGTTCTCCTAGTTCTTTCAAAAAAAACCAAGCTCTCTGTTATGCATATCAAATGTTCCTGGTGCCTCTGAAAGCCCAAAAGTCCTTTTGTTTCACATTGGGAGCCAAAACATTTGCAAATATTTGTCAATTTAAGGGTAATTTAGGTTATCAGCAGTATCTCCAAATCAAATGAGCTCTTTTGAAGATATGGAATCAGAGTAATTATAAAGGCTAATGTGCTTATTTCACTGATAATTTGCTTTGCAATTTCCCCAACTCTTAACTGTTGCAGATAGTTCTGAGAAGTGATGACTGGCCTGTTACTGAAACCCTTCTATTTGTCATGTTTACCAAACTAGTCTGCACCAAGTTATTGTAAAAACAATGAAATGACAAGTAGCATGCCCCTCCTCACTCCCATCTCTCCACTTTTCTTCTCTCCTCCCAAACATCACGTTCCCTGTTTCTGTAACGCACATGACATTCCAAGACATAAGACGATGTTCTTGCCATCTACACCTTGTATCACTGTTTTTACTTTCTCAACTGCTTGTCATTTTAAAATATACAATAGCCATTTAGGAAGAATCTAGTTAATAAAGAAATGCAAATTGGAAAACAGAAGTAGGAATTTCCACACATGAGGATGAACAAGTAAGAATAGGAAAAAAACAGCCAGTGGGATTCTCCCAAGACAAGTCACCAGAAAACTAAACACAATTCAATCTGGTTCACCCTCTTATTACTTCAACTGAAACTCTCACAATCCTAGTGGTTTGGTTGTTTGACTTACATTTAATCAGGATTTCCCCTATTTTAAAGTTTGAAAGTAACTGTCCCTCAGAAAACTAAACACTTTAATTTTTTTCAATTCCCCATTTTGTTTGCTGTAAGATTTTGAGACATGTAAAGCTGAATGAAGACGAGGTGGTAGCTCAGATACAAGTGGTCTTTGAGTTAATTAAATTGGAACTTACCCCTATCTTGTAAATGCGACATCTTACCACACAGACTCTCTTAAGTTATGTTGATGAGCAAACAGCCTTCCAACATGGCTGAGCATAAGGAACTCTGGGGAGAACAGTGCTTACCTCATCAGAAGCCAAATACACACAGAGCTGGGCTACTTCTTCTGCTGTTGCAAACCTTCCTGTCTTCTGTCTCTTCAGGAAATCATTTAGTGCCTGTGACCAGAAACCATTCTTGACATCAGTGATGAGAGCTGACATATGTGCTTCTCTGTAACTTCCTCAAGGGTTAAAGGCAAGAAGAATCTACACAGGGACTTATTGCCTTGAATCACCAATCAGGGTTACAGCGACTTGTTCACCTAAGCTACTCAAGTGAGTTGTGATACACTAAGACCCACAGATAGTGGGATAGATTAGAAAGCTGATATGAAACAAGATTGTTTTTCTTTTCTTTTTTTTCAATTGTAAGTGGTAGTGCACGTCTGTAATCTCAGCACTTGGGGGGTTGAAGTAGAAGGACCGAAAGTCTGAGGCCAGCCAGGACTACATAGTGAGACCTTGTCTCAAAAACAACAACCAAAAAAATTGTAATAAAACATGCATAGCTTAAAATTTACAATCTTAACCATTTTAAGCGTACAGTTTGATAGTGTTAAATACATTTACATTGTGTGCCACCATCACCACAACTCTTCTCATCTGCAAAAATGAAAATCTACACCCATTAAGCAAATAACTGGCCATTCTCCTCCCCACTCCCCCCACCCCACACAAGGTCTCTCTAGGCAAGGAAGAGGGCATTTTTTTTTTTTTGCTGAAGGGGTTGAAAAACATTTAAACTACTAGATGTACCTCTTCAGGATTTTCTCTGGCTTGTATCCTTTCTTGCAAAGATGGAGTATCAACTGTTCCTAAACCAAACAGGAGACATTCAGCTTGGTTACTTAAACCGAAAAAGAAATTAATAATTAAAATTTTAGACTTCCTTTTGTTGTATGATATAACAACTGGCTAAATCCTTCTCCTTTGACTTAAAATGACAATTTTATGTTTGCCTACCTGACCTCTTATTTAATAGGCTTGTAACTTCATTAATAATATTACTTATGATCTTTAAAACAGACTGTGATTCTTTGTGACACTAGGCAGGGACTCTGGGTGAATTTCCTAGCATCCTCAAGGACATTTATTTTAGTCACATCATCTTTATAGGATGATTTATGGATTTCAAGTACTTTTACATGCATTTTATCAGCTAATCCTCACGAAAACCCTGAGATGCAGATAAAAACCTCATAAACCCTTCACCAGTTCAAGGACCTAGTTTGCCTCAGTGATCTCAAAACCATCTTCTGATGTCAAGTTCACCATGCAGATTCTTGGACAATTCCATGGCTGCCATAATCCTTGGTAATTCAGATGACTCTGAGTTTTCCTCATTGTCTAGCCTATTTTCATTGGTTTCAAATTCGTTTTTAAAAAACCCCTGCTTTAAGTTCTCATAAAAATATAATTTAACATTTTTGTTTTAAAAAAGAAAAATAAGAATGATACTAAAAAGTTAAAATCCCATTTAGCTCACAGACCTCTATAGCAGCTTCTCTAGACTATTTTTTTCTTCTTTTCTTTTATTTTTTTTTCTTTTATTATTCATATGTGCATACAAGGCTTGGTTCATTTCTCCCCCCTGCCCCACCCCTCCCTTACCACCACTCCACCCCCCTTCCCTCCCCCCCCCCCCCCCCCCCCCCGCTCAATACCCAGCAGAAACTATTTGGCCCTTATTTCTAATTTTGTTGTAGAGAGAGTATAAGCAATAATAGGAAGGAACAAGGGTTTTTGCTGGTTGAGATAAGGATAGCTATACAGGGCATTGACTCACATTGATTTCCCGTGTGTGGGTGTTACATTCTAGGTTAATTCTTTTTGATCTAACCTTTTCTCTAGTACCTGTTCCCCTTTTCCTATTGGCCTCAGTTGCTTTAAGGTATCTGCTTTAGTTTCTCTGCGTTAAGGGCAACAAATGCTAGCTAATTTTTTAGGTGTCTTACCTATCCTCACCCCTCCCTTGTGTGCTCTCGCTTTTATCATGTGCTCAAAGTCCAATCCCCTTGTTGTGTTTGCCCTTGATCTAATGTCCACATATGAGGGAGAACATACGATTTTTGGTTTTTTGAGCCAGGCTAACCTCACTCAGAATGATGTTCTCCAATTCCATCCATTTACCAGTGAATGATAACATTTCGTTCTTCTTCATGGCCGCATAAAATTCCATTGTGTATAGATACCACATTTTCTTAATCCATTCGTCAGTAGACTATTTTTTTCTTGAATCATACATACAATCTGTGAATTCTCTGTAGAGGACCATTTTTTTCAGATGGAACCATGTGATCTTTCTCTGGGGGATACTGTGATCTTCCTGAGGTCATAAAAATTGACTTTACCGTAATACCCCCAGCTTCATCTCTAGACCATGCTCCTGAGAATGCCATACAAACCATTTCTTGGGCTAGGTGCAGAGGCTCACTCATACCTATAGTCCCAGCAGATATGGGGAGTATTTTGGTTCCAGGCCAGCCTGAGCAAACAGTTAGTGAGACCCTATGTGAAAAATAACTAAAACACAGAAAGGGATGTAGCTCAAGTGGTGACCTGCATAGCAAGCACAAGGCCCTGGGTTCAAATCCCAGTACTGCCCCCCTAAAAAAGATGTAGAAGAAGCCATTTCTTAATTTCAGCATCATTTGACATTTTTCTGGAGAAGCTAAGATTCATCAGTGTCAGAAATCCTGACTCCTATTTGGAGCCTTTTGTTTGGTTTATCGCTCTTGTCACATTTTACCATGAGCAGGCAGCATGATCAGCTTTCTGGGTGGAAATCACCTCAGCTAGATCACCTCCTTCATTGGGAACATTTTCTATCTTCACATTACTGTAGGAACAAAGGTCTCATTTTTATCCAGTTTCTAATATTGTCCTTACTTCTCTTGTCAGTAACCTCCTCAGTGTTCAAAATATTACCAACAGTGTGCACCTTACGCTTTCACTGACACTGTCTTCAAAATCCTTACAGCTGTAAGTGCCTCCTCCGGCTGAAGTAAATGAGCTTGTATCTTACACACAGCTGCTTCTAACAGCTATCAAGTGAAAACTGTAGCTATAGATTAATTTCATTGTCACTGCTTCTGCTGTGTCCACAACACAGACTGACAAATTGGGCCATTGTCTGCATTTGTCTGATGAGAGATTCGTGACTCACAACTATCAGCACCATCATAGACACACTCATTTCTTCTTAGGTTTCTTCTGTGATGGGCTCAGTGACTCACAGCTAGTTCCTTGTCTCAAACAATTTGATAATGTATTTTCCAATCTTATGAAAAATCTAGCCGCGGGAACAACCACATTTTCCAAATTGTTTTGCCATTTACTCCAAATGGTAAAATGTCACCAAGAATAGCTAGACTCAAGTAAGTGTTTACATCAAAACCCACAGAAAGGTAGTCTCTGTGGCTCATGCCTGTAATTCTAGCTACTCAGGAACTGGAGATCGGGAGGATCACAGTTCAAGGCCAGCCTGTGTAAACAGTTTATGAGAACCCATCTCAACCAATTAGTTGGGTGTGGTGATGCATACCTGTAGGAAGCAGAAGTGGGAGGGTGGTAGTTCAGGCCAGCCTGGGCAAAAAGCAAGACCCTAGCCCCAAAATAACTAAAGCAAAAAGGATTTAGGGTGTGGCTCAAGTGGTAGAGTGCCTGCCTACCAAGCTCAATGTCCTGAGCTCCAACCTCAGTATCACCAAAAAAAAAAAAGGTGGAATTATTTCCCCTCTCTTCTCTTTTTTTTTTTGTTACCTATGTCTACATTTCTACTCCCAGAGAAATAAAGCAGAATATCTCAATAATTGAAATTCTGTGGCTTGAAGAATCTGTAATAGTTTCCCTTGTGTAGTCAGTGGTTTTCAACCTGAGATTCAGGCAGTCTCCTGTGGGATTTTCCAAATGACACATAGTTCTCCGCACTAACTTCTTCCTTAAATTCTGGCATGTCTTGCAGGTAATTTTAAAAGAGTTTTTCAGAACTGCCCCAGTACCAGTTGTGAAGTACTGAAGACCTTAATCTTGGATATGCAATATTTTTTTGCAGAGGACATTAGTAATCCTGATAGGCACTTGCATTCATTTTGTGTTGGTGGAACCAGGTAAAAGGGCTACCTATCTAACAGATACATTCAGGGTCACTGAGAAAATGGAGCACACCCACAGTTATTAAGAAAAAAGTTCTGCTTGCCTTCTTTCCTTTATTTGAGGGGTCAGCACACTTTTTTGATAAAGAGCAAGACAGCAAACATTTTTGGTTTTGAGCTCCATTTGATTTGCAGCAACCACTCAACTCTGCCTTTGTAGCATGAAAACAGCCCTAGTCAATGTATAAGAAAATCCAGTGTGGGTGTGTCTCAGTAAAATGTGTGGTAAGCCAGATTTGGCTTACAGGTCAGTTTGCCGGCCCCCTTTTTACAGCATAAGGAAAAGTTAAGCCTCCTTTGATGGATGAGCCACCCTAGATATCTTGTTTGACTCTAGCAGATCCCTGTGTTCTGAGAGATTTCCCTTACTTTCTCCTTGCTGCCTGTAGGCATGGTCTTATTTCTTTTATTTTCTTTACTCTCCCCCCTTTCCCTTTCTTTCTTCCTCCTTCCTTCTCTCTCTTCTTTACTTTCAATAGGATCTTGCTATATATAGCCCAGGTTGGCCTCAAATTCGAGATCCTCCTGCCATAGCCTCCTGAGTACTGGAATGGGATTACAGGAATGCATCACTATGCTTGGAAGCATGGTCTCCTTTTCATCTTTCCCCTGACGAGGTCACCTTGGTCTGCTTCTCAAACACTGGGCTCTGGAAAGTTTTATGTCTTAGTCATTTGATTCTGAACTGTCCTCCACACAGGTGAATTTTAAACCCTTTGCACTTGTGACTCACTGCTGATATCTTCAATCTACTTTCTAACTTACTCCAGGACTGTTCTCTCAGAAAGGCCAGGCCCTTTCATTGATGACAGAATATAATTTAACATGTAGAAAACAAGCTTGTATATAGATGTTACTCACAATGGCAAACAGGATGTCAGAAAGGACAAGTCCAGAGCCTGACTCACCTGGGCACACACAGTTGCACCTGATACCCTGCTGGATGAAGTCTGCAGCAATGGACTTTGTGAGGCCGATCACAGCAGCCTTGGTTGTGCTGTACACACACCTGTTCACCACTCCTGGGGGTGACAGCAAGAGTCAACAATTGAAGGAATTGACAACTAAATCTAAATTTTAGAAAGGGGACACAGGCTAGTTTGTCTAGTTGACATTTTTATGCTTTCTCCCACCCTCTTCTTGAAAAAAATTTTTGACATCAGGTTTTCTTCCTTAAGAGTGCCAGTTTTTGAATCTAGGGAAATAATACCAGTATAGGGCCAACTTAACTGAGCTGTCAGTGGTGTTGAGAGGCTGCACTTAGTTATCAGCAGTAGTCTGCTTTTCACCATTAGTTGGTACAGCCATTAGGCAGATTCTAAAACAATCCTAAGGACAGTAATATTATCTTTGGGACTCTGCCTAAATGATAAAACAAGAGGCCTAGGCACTTTACACTCCTCTCTTGTGTTTGTTTCATGTGTGTTTCCTTGCGAAGAGAAGGAAGGTTATCTCAGCAGCAGCTATTTCATTTGAAACTCAAAAATCCACTGGTACCAGGCCGTGACATTATTTCCATTCTGCACTGTCATCCTCGCCCTTGGACTTGACTTCTCATTCAGGAACCAGATCAACTGTCTTTGTGGAGCATTCTTCAAACCCACAGGCAGAACACCCTCCCTGTATTGTGGTGGCACTTTCTGCAAATCTCCACTACACTATTACACAGTAGAAGATGGAATTTGCCCACCTCTCTCTGCCTTTTGGACTATGAATTCTTTTGGGGAGCAGGGCAATGGCATGTATGTGCTTGATACATCATTTTGGATTAATTAAATGATAAAGTGTTTCCTTCCCCAGCTCAATATTCTTTTCCATATACATTAGAAGTAACAAAAGGGAAGGCAAGGAAAACAGATTTTCATTTAACTTTATGACTGGCTTATATCTATGGCAACTAGTCTGATGGTTAAGGAACTTAATATTAATTTTTTAAAAAGAGTTCTGAAATTTTATATGTTTTATGATCTCATCTAGGCTAATTTTTCCTAATCCATAGGTTATGAAGATGTGTGTGTGAGCATCACAAACCCCAGAGGAGGCTCCCTACCCTTGATGCTGGAGGCCACGGAGGACATGTTGACAATGTTGCCACATTTCTGAGCAAGCATCTGTGAAAACAAGACAAATATAACAATCCCACCATGCAGACTGAAAATAATACTCCTTTGGAATATCTGCATTTCCTTATGATTTGCAGAACCAATTTGAGCATCTTATTAATGATCAGCTCTATTGAGCAGTTTTACCAGTGAACCCCTCGCCTACATGTTGCTGGGAGCTAGTGGCAGTGTAAATAACTCCCTGGCATTTCTGAAGAGCATTGCCACCTTCCTGGGGCACAAAAGCATCAGCAAGACCAAGAATGAATATGGATCTATATGGAACAGAAATGAATATCAATTGTCACTGTGTGTTCCTGATGTTGGGAGACTATTACTCTATTCATCACATATGTATAAACTGTATTCATATGTATTGAATACCTACTCTGGTCAGGTATTGTGCAAGGTCCATGAGAATCAAAGATAAATGACACAGTCCCTGCCTATAGGGAGGAGCCAGCCTGATTGGAGAGATGACATAACACTCTCTAGCCACAGTGTCACCCTCCAGAGATCTATGGGAGAGGCAGGAAGAACCCATTCAGGCTGGAGGCAGGTAGAGGGGAGTACCTGATGAGGAGGTATGAGGGCTGAATTTTGAAAGCTAGAGTGCTACTTAGAAAAAAAAATTTTTAAATGGTGTTTCAGGGGAAGATTATGGAGAAATAACCTAACACAAATTACAAAGATTCTAGGAGAAAACTGGGAGAAAGGTAAGGGTCTGGCGGGAATGCTGGGTGTAGGAGGAATGAGGCATAAGATTGCATGAGGGGCTGAACTGAAGAACCTGGGTTTTACCTTGAAGGCAATGCAGACCTTGAAGTAAGAGGGGGCTGGATGGATGAGGGAGGACAAGGAGGAACATTTATATTCTGTTGGTGGGAATGTGAATTAGTACAGCCACTATGGAAATCAGAATGGAGGTTTCCCAAAAAACTAAAAATAGAACTATCATATAACCCTGTGAAACTATTTCCGGGCATATATCTAAAGGAATGTAAGTCAGCATACAATAGACACACCTGCACAACCATGTTTATAGTAGCACTAACTATCACTAAGCTATGGAATCAGCCTAGGTGCTCATCAACCAATGAATGGATAAAGAAATGTAGTATTGTGTATAAAGATATACACAATGGAATATTATTCAGCCATAAAGAAGAACAAAATTATGTTGTTTGCTGGAAAATGGACAGAACTAGAGAACTAGAGATGTTAAGTGAAATAAGCCAAGCTCAGAAAGATAAATATCACATGTTTTCTCTCATAAGCAGAATCTAGACCTAACAAAACAAAGAAGTAATTGTAAAAGGGGTACTATTTTGGGGTGGGGACCAACTGGAAGCAGGGAAGCAAAAGGTGAAGGTGATGGGGGGGTGAATATGATCAAAGTACCTTTTATGCATGAATGCAAATAGAATAATGAAACACATTCAAAATGTTATAAGGGTGGGAGGTGAGTGAAGATAAGAAAGAGCAATGGAGGGGGTACATTGGATCAAAGTGCATTATATGCATGTGTGGAAACATCACAATGAACCCTGTCCTACAATTAAAAAGATAGAGGAGGAGTGACATATTCAGATTTGGAAAGACAAAGGTTACTCTGGTGCCATGGAGAGGCCATCTGGGAAACATGAGGAGAGCACTGAGGTGGGAGGGGCAGGACTTCAGAAGTACTTACTGTGGAGAGAGTGAGCCCACCTGAAGAACACCAGAATTCTCCCACTAAAGTGTGAATTTATCAAGAGGAGAGTCTTGCGCAGTCAACAAATTTTGATGAATCAGAATCTCCTGAGGTGCTACTTTAAATGAACATTGGAATCTATAATGAATAAAGCTGCTATGAATTTTAAAATTCAAATGAACTCATACTTTATTGACAGTAACAAAAAATATATGTCTTCAAGATAATAGATGCACAAGGGCATGGGCACCCACGGATATTTTGGGAGAAGAAGCCAGAGTTGAGATAATCCCTGACTCTCAGGCACTAAATTCTCAGACTGAAATCATTGGCAAGGCAGAAAGCCATAGAGAACAAGGAGGAGGTGGTGGAATACAAGATACAAGAGAGGCATAGAATTAAACTAACTGCTGGAGGAAGCAGAACGCAAATTAGACAACAGAAAGAAACCTGCCAAATGTTTGTCACATCATGAGAATCAAAGACAGGGTTTCAAAAATGAAGGGGTATTACTAGGCAGTGTAAAGGATCTAGAGAAAAAAACTCTCTTCTGCCGGGGTGAATTTCTTCAGTTTTCAGAAAAAGAGGTGTAGGAAAGGGGAGAGTCTGTGGTTGATGGATCCATGGCTAGGGTGGCTAAGATGATATGCTTCTTTATGGTATTTATTTATGGTATTTCTCTTACTTTTCATTTTAACACTCAGCTACTAATTGTACCTAAGAGCAGAGACTAAAATAACACCAATGCATTGTGGTGCATGGACTAAACAAATATACAGAGAGGCTGAGATAACCCAGCCATGTCAAGGGACACAGCACAGGAAAAGTAACATTTAACCCCAACGGCTTTTCTCCGTGATAAAGGGGATCATAATGAAATGGGGTCTTCATAAAAAGACTAGGAATGTTAGTAATGTATAATGCCATTGAAAACAAAGCCTTAAAATTGTTCTTTCTCATTCAATTTAGCAACTAATATAACCTACTTTTTTTTTTTTTTTTTTTTGCAATACTGGGGCTTGAACTCAGGGCCTTCACCTTGAGCCACTCTACCAGCCCTATTTTTTTTTGTTGTTTTTTGTGAAGGGTTTTTCGAGATAGGGTCTTGTGAACTATTTGTCCTGGCTGGCTTTGAACCAGGATCTTGCTGATCTCTGCCTCCTAAGTTGCTAGGATTATAGGCATGAGCCACCAGGGTCTGGCTCCTAACCTACTTTTAATACATAGAAATACACATAACTCAGCTTAATATCTGAAGATTGGCTATTACATGGGCTCAATCTCCAATCACCTGAAAAGCAGTAATTCCCCGAGCAAAACCTTAGCATATAGTCACCTTAGAGAAGCTAGTGCTGCTCCAACCATTGTAACAATCTATTCGAGCCAGGTCAGCCTGCTGATTCTAGAGCCCGGAGTCATTGCCCACTTCCAGGCTGTCTTCCCTTCCCAGCACCAGCTCAGAACCTACTGTCACAGTGTAATGCTCCTCCAGCACCCTGCGCAACAGCTTCCTCTGGCAGGTGTGACTGTAAAGTGAAGTACCTGCTATACAACAGTGTGGCTGACCTATCAGAAACTCAAGTGGAGGCTATAAGGAAAAGTCTGTCCAGCTGTTATCTAGCTAGCCTTCTCTGATTCAGCCCTTCTGTCCCCATTGCCCAGAGCTCAGCTCCTAATCTTGGTGGATCTTGGCCTCTTAGTCTCTAGGTTCAATGCTCGATCTTCATCTGGATTGACAACCTTGATTCATTTTTTCATTCAACAAATGTTTGTTGAACACCTCTATGTGCTAGTGACCCTGCTCAGGTACAGTAAGGGAAAAAGCGAGCAAAAAATCCAAATAACAAAGACATCACCAAATCTTTTCCCTAATAGATCTTCTTTTCTAGTGAACCTTGGATTCTGCACTGATCTTTTATGGTATTTTCTACTTGCTCTGTGCCTTTTGACTGATATTCCAATTTTGGAGTTGTTTTCCATATATCCACCCATGAACAAAAATTTTCTGCAAGTGTTCCTATGTTTTGCTCACCTGATCTTTCAGAGATGTGTAGGCTCCATATCCTGGTTTCCCCTGGAAAATCTTAATCTTGTATGTGTGTGTCACCATTAATGATTCAAAAGATCTTAGATAGTTAGTGCTGGAAATGATTGTCTCACCCTCATTTTCAGATGGAACAAACAGACACTGAAAGGATGCAAGTATCATTTCTTCAGGCACATGGGGCAGAGATCAGGCTGTGCCTGCAGACTTCTGATGCCAGTGTACCCAATCAGAAGTTGAGCTGCTTAGGCCTCCCCCACGCCCTTTTTGCCCCCTGAGACAGAGTCACCCTACGTAGCCCAGCCTGGCCTTGAATTTGTGATCCTCTTGCCTCAGCTTCCTGAATGCTGGAATTATAGCCATGTACCACCAAACCCTGCTCAGGGTCACTTAAATAAGTGGCACTGAGTGATTCTGATTCCACATTGCAGTCATTAATATTTATTGGGATTTTAAAAATAAATGTATGTTATTGGCTCATACAGACCATTGTTAGGACATTTTAAACCAGGCAAACCCACTAATTCACAAGTTGGCATTGTTTTGTTGGAAAAGTTAGCACTTAGAAGTTTAAATTCCAGCCAGGTGCTGGTGGCTCACATCTGTAATTCTAGCTACTCAGAAGACAAATCAGGAGGATGGTGGTTTGAAGCCAGCACAGGCAAAAAAAGTTCGCGTGACCCTATCTCAAAAAACTTTTCACAAAAATAGGGCTGGTGGAGTGGCTCAAGGTGAAGGACCTGAGTTCAAGCCCCAGTACTGCAAAAAAAAAAAAGTTTAAATTTCAGCTCCACTGTGCTCCACACCTATATGAACAAGTACTTGTGATGCCTTCAGACCTGTAGTAGGCTGTTTTTGCAAATGAGTTCCACACATGTGCAGCAGTCTTAGCCTCTGTCACCTGACTTTTCCCTCTTACCATGGCCTCTGCTCTACCCCCAAATCCTATGCAAACTACCTGTCTTCAAAACTTACATCCAAGTTCCAAATTAACATAGATTCTTATGAACTTTAAGCAGGCAAGTAACATATTTTAAAAAGTATTGTTAGTTCAACACTCTGTGGGACTACCCAAAGATTCCTTCTAGTCACTAAACAAGTACTGTCAAAAAGTCCTTCATAACCAAGCCAATATCTCTAATTTTCCTGTTAATGGTCACCTGGAAAAGCCTTGATATTTGGTTCACTATTCAGAACAAAATATCAGCTTTGCTGTGCCATTAACAAATCTCCTTCCCTGTTCTGGGTTGGACAGCATTCAGAACCATGAGTCAGACATGCGATCCAGCAGGGCGAAAAGGACAAATAGCTCTTCTGTATTTTGCTTCGGGTTCAGTTTACAACCTTGAGTTGCTGGTTCCATACTCAGTCAATTCCATTCATTGTCTGATAATACTGGCATATAAGCTATTCACAGTCAGAGCTATTTGGTTCCCATATACACATCCTTCTTGCCCACAGCTTTTTTAAGCCAAAAGCTGTGTAAGGCTTATCTGTCAAATGAAATTTAAAATATTGTTGAACTGTGTGAAGGCTGAAGAATTCAAGGAAGGCTGACCCAGGAGGTCCCATCAATTTTTTACATCTTCAGACCCTTGGTGGCTCAGCAGAAAACAGGAGCAATAGGAGAATCTTCAAGGTAGAGAAAAGCAATGGGAAGTGCAGTGCAATGGTGTGGTACAGTGCTTTGCGGTGTAGTGCAGTGTGGTGTGGTATGGTGTGGTGTAATGTGGTGTAGTGTAGTGTGGTGTGGTGTGGTGTGGTGTGGTGTGGTGTGGTGTGGTGTGGAACAAATTTTTGTTCTCACTACTGGCTAGTTGTGTGATCTTGGGCAAGTTACCTAACCTCTTAGCTTACTATAATAAGTGACTTTGATAAACTAGTACCCACCTACACTACTGCTCCACTCTTGTGCGCCTTCTTGGTGGTTACTCTGCCTGGAACCCTCTGCCCACATACGGTTTGCTCCTTCATTTGGACCTCTATGAAAATCCCACCTTTTGATGTCCAGAGGGCATCATTGATATCTTAACTTCTTTGTTGTCAACTTCTTTGTATTTATTAACCATCCTAAATGTGATATGTCTGTTTGATTACTTGATATCTGGTCTCACTCTCAATAATGGGAACTCTCTTACAGAAGGGACTTTGTTACATTTACCAATTAGTCTTCTGTGCCAGAAATGGAGCCTAACACACAGAGAGTGCTTAATACATATGCTTTGACTGTAAGAGCTGGAAGTATAAAGAAATTAATTGATATGAAATGCTTTGGCATAAATGTTCAAGGAATGTTAGTCATCCTTTTAGCTATCATCACTCTCCAGCATGTGAGCATCCTGTCTGAGTGCCCAGTGAGAGACCTAATGTGGTACTTATTCTGGTGGTGGAGGTGGTGGTGGCCTTACTTTAGGAAGGAATGCCTTGATCATCAGGTACATGCTGCGCACATTGAGATTCATTGAGAAGTCCCAGTCTTTTTCCTCACAGTCCAAGATGGTTCCATGATGGACAAAACTGAAAGAGTGATTAAAGAGGAAGGAAAACCTGGCATTAAAGAACTTGTGATATGACTCAGTGGTAAAGTGATTGCCTAGCATACGTGAGACTCTGGGTTTCAATTCCCAGTATCACTTCCAAAAAATTGCCATTAAAATGTTTTAAAATTCAATTCTCATTATTTCTATGTCACTCTTTGGCATAGAACATTGTCTTCTTCATTTACCAAGACTAATACAATTCAAAAACAGTATCACTTAGCACATTGCGTTGCTAAGAATCCCAATAACTTTAGCTAGCCCATTTGCTACCTGAACACAACATCCTTCTTTTGAAAGAAGAAGGAATGAGTTGGGGTCACCAAATGAAAGGAGATCTACACCAGATAACACTGGAAACGTCAATGCCATTTAAATCAAAGCACAAATGAGATGGACATCTGCCCTATTTGACTGCTATTTCAAGAGTAACACTGCCCTCAGGTGGCAAAGAATACTAAATCAAAATTGCAAGAAGAAGTGTCTCAGTATCTCAGGGAAGCAAAATAATACTGATAATGTCTACTTTTAAGACAGAATAAAAAAGGCAGAACAAAAGAAAATCCTTAAAATAACCCTTCTTTTCAAGTCACACTTCCTGAAGGAAGCTTCCTAAACATGGAATCTTTATTGGTTTGGTCCTCATGAACTTCAGTACTTCCAGTTCAACCAGAATGTCAGCTTCCTGCCAGCAACAATGGCATGCTATATTTCTCTATCTCCTACACTGCTGAAAATTTAATAGATGCTAAAAAGCTAACTTTTCTGCTTCTGTCATACCTCTAAGCATATTCTTACATGAGAAGAATCAGATTATTTATAAAACAGGTAATCAGAAATCATTGCTTTTTTAAAATTTCCATACACTGTGACACACGACACAGCTTTGCGGTGTCTTCTGTTCCATTAACTGCCTTGAAGCCCCAAGTCCATGTCTTACTCGATGAATCTTACTCTACGGATGTCTTACTCGATGAATCTTACATGTAATGAAAATGCTGTCTGAAATCTAGCCACACTTCCCAAGAAATATATCATGGTCCACATCGAGTAACTTTGCCATATTACCAAAGCCCTTTTAATAAAGTCAGAGAAAACTTTCTGAGAGGAAAGGGAAATTAAAAGTTACAAATTACCCAGCAACGTTAAAGAGAACATCAACTCTTTCAACTTCATTGGCAAACTGATCAATTTGTTTCTTCTTTGTGACATCAAGGACACGAGTTTGAATACCTAAAAATTAAAAGACACTATTTACCTATAACCATAAACACATGTCTAACTTAGAAGATTTAGCTGTTTTGAGCTGTGAAGTGTGAGGTATGCAACATTTATCTAGCGAGCTGAGTAGGATTGTTTGACTATCACTAGGGTCTTCACAATCTTTAAGTGCCTTTCTTTTTTTCTGGCAGTGCTGGGATTTTGAACTCAGGGCTCATGCTTGCTAAGCAGGTGCTGTACCACTTGAGCCACCCCGTCCGCCTTCACAATCTTTAAGAATCTCATTAAAATGTGAAAGTCTTGGGCTGGTGGAGTGGTTCAAGTGGTAGAGCATCTGCCTAGAAAGCATGAAGCCCTGAGTTCAAATCCCAGTACCACCAAAAAAATAAATAAGTAAAAAGAGAGATGTAAAAGTCTTAAGTCCCATCCTGATCCCCCCAATAACACAACCATTCCTCTCCCTCTCTTTCTCCATTTTGTAAATTCAAGAGAGTCTTTTCCTCGTAATGACTTCACAGTGAAGTATGATTGATCTACCGTAGTCTTGCCTCATAAGTCAGCAGTAAGAACTGATAGTGGGCTTATTCTGGCCCATTCTTTTCCCAGAGATTGTGTTGCTGGTACAGTAATGCTCAATTCTGTTGGAGTGAGCCATGAAGGAAGGACAGTGCCTGTGGGATAAAAACACATTCTGCTACAAGCTTCACCTTTGTAGCATTTTCATTACTTATTACCAGTGACTGTTAGTTAAGGATATCACCTGTAAAAGGCTGTGCATATGGGATCCAGCATGGGTCTGAGAGATGCACACTGCACTACTTACTAAAAGAAGTTCTCTAACAAAGGCAGCATTTATGTCCTTTAAGACAGTTTAATTATTATTTTGGATATAAAATTACAAGTCTGGTGGAGTGGCTCAAGTGATACAGTGCCTGCCTAGCAAGTGTGAGGCCCTGAATTCAAACCCCAGTGCCACACAAAAAAAAAAAAACCCAAAAAAACAATTACCTGGATATAAAATTATAAGATTAGTGAACCAAGAAAAGGAGGACTGAAATTTCATCTCAGAAAGACTTCTTTTGTGCTTTCTGAGTATCAGCAGCTTTACTTTGATTTGTTGGAATTATAATGCAACATATTCTGATTTCATTTTGTAACTCAAGGGACTAATGTGTGATTATGACCTGTTCTATTTTGCTGGAACAGTTAATTTTCCAATGCTGCAGTTAGGTTCTGTGTGATACAAATAGTTTCCCATCATGGTGTGTGATTTAGCCACATGTGGCTAGTGAGCACTTGAAATATAGGTAGTCTGGGCTGAAATGTGTATAAATGTAAAATATATTTGAATTTCAAAGATTTAGTATGAAAATGTTGAGATGTTGGTCAAAGGGTACAATTTTGCAATTATGAATAAGTTCTGAAGGCCTATTGTACAACACAGTGCCTATAGTCAATAAAAATGTATTGTACACTTGGAATTAGCTAAATTTAGATTTTTAAGTATTCTTAACACATGCATACAGAGAGAGAGAAGTAACTACATGAGGTGATGGATTTGCTAATTAGCTTGACTATGGTAATTATGTTGGAGTCCTTACCTAACTTTAAGGAAGTCTTGGGTTCAATTTCCAGGGCTCAAATAAACAAACAAAGAAAAACCCAAAACCAAAACATCATTTTGTGAGTGCTAGGAGTGGCAGTAAACACCTGTAATCCCAGCACTCAGGAGAATTGAGAATTTGAAGCCAGCTTAAGCCACACAGCAAGATCCTGTCTCAAAAAAAGGGAAAATAGTCCACTAATAATTTTAAATATTGAATAAATGTTGAGATAATATGTTATATATATTGGCTTATATAGTAGTTTGGTAAAATTAATTTATAGCAGTTTTTTTATAATTTAATGTGGCTACTAGAAAATTTATAAACATATGTGTGGCTCAATCATGTCACTATTGAACCATGCTGCCCTAGAGGAGAAAGGAAGAAACAACAATGACGGAAGTGAAGAGTTGTCATTAACTGTTAACACAATAACTGTTGATTTTCACAAATAACTTTGTAATCAATAACTAAATCCCTCAACATTTGTGTAGCACAAAATTTTAAGCATATATCTTCAGAATTCTCATACAGATTTTAGATGCACAGATTTTTGTTTGTAGGTTCATAGAATCATAGCTTCGATGTCAAAGAGCCAAAATTTTAAAAACAGTCTTGTGTTTCTGAGCAGCTAAGGAATTTTCTTTCAACACATGAATATCATTGCTTTACAAGACCCAGCAATCTCTGAACCCCAAAGTCAAGCTGCTAAATTGCTTACCTGGGTACTTTTCCAGTTCCTGAAGTTTGGGCTCATTGATATCTGTAGCTATGACTTTAGCTCCTTCTTTTGCAAAAGCCTGGCAGACACAAAGTACAAATAAGTCCTTTGTTTACTTGATTAAAAAGGGTCTTTTTCCTTTTATCTTATTTTTGTTCTTGTTTTCCCTATAAAATAGGTGGAATTTCAAACTATTTAGTCTCATTGTCTCCCCTCCCCAGTAATTATTGTTTTAACTTATTTTTTATCATTGATTAAAACAACATGATGTACATTGTGCTTGTCATCTTTGTTGCTTTAATATCAATCAAGAAAACTAGTGGTCTTTAAAATTCTAATTCCATTTTTAACACCTCTCAAATGTTGCTATTCTGTAATGACAGTTATTGCTGGTGACTAACTGCAAATATTAAGAGAAAAATGGATAAATTTTCCTCCTGGGAGTATTTACGTCCATAAATGCCAAACTATGTCTGCCATTATACTGAAGGCGTATTAGTAACTCAGGAGAGGGTGTCATGTGGAAGAGGTTGAGGTGAATAACTCTGGAGCCACAATTCTGAACTGACATAATTTTAGAAAGCCACGCAGCCTGTAGGGCCCCTGCAGTATATTTATTATGGTGCAGAGAAACTGGGTCAGAAAAACACATTTCTCAGAGTCAAAGGACATCAGTGATCTTCTCACATAACAAACATGTGAGGTATTCATTCCTTCATCTGCATCAGGAAAGTGACTTTTTTCTTTTGTAACTTAAGACAACAGAAGCATAAAATTAATTAAAAAAAAAAAGAGAGAAAAAGTCTGGTTGTTTAGCTCAGAGGTAAGAGTGCATGCTTAGTATGTTGGAGACTCTGCATTCAATTGCTAGCACACACACAAAAAAATGTAGAGCAGAATTAAACACCCATGGTATGAATCCACATAATCCAACACTTCAAAATGAGTAAGTAAACTACAAGAGGTATCAACTTACTAAGGCAGCCGCCCTGCCGATCCCTGAGCAGCAGCAGTTAGGATGATGACTTTCCCATCAAGACGACCCATTAGGGAATCTGCAAGTTAATCTAAAGACATGTGCATTTAATGGCTTACACCATAGCCTATGGTCATGTACCAGCGGTAACATGTGGAACAAATAGGTCAATGTGCTTCTTTTAGAATGAGAAGAGAGTGCCTCTGTACAGACAGTCCCACCACTGAATTGTCTGGGAGCACTTACTCTAGACACTTGGCTTTTGTATCAAAAACATTTGGCATAACCCATTGAAGTGACTAGTGATGGACATTAACCCACCTTCCAGTTCCAGTCTCAGCCTCTGATGCTGAGATAAGCAAGTGCAGAGTCCTCACCACCCTGCCTTCCTTGCTGCCCCTACACACATCACTGTACTGTTTTGTCTTTACAGAAGACTGCTTCTTGGTTTCTCTTTGGTAAACTTTTGTTAAATTTGCATTCTCAATTGCTATGGTTTTTCCTCATCCCTTGAAAAGATTTCCTAGTTGACCTCAGAGATTCACTGAACAAAAGGCCTGGAAAATCAAATCATTTCCAATATCCCCATTTTACAGATAAGGAAACTGTTGCTGCCCAAGGTCATAGAGCCGGTCAGCATCAGAGTCGGAGGTAAACTTAGGAGTCCTGGCTCTTTTGCTATGAATACAGTCTACCCTATAATGCTGCTGATACTCTTTAAAAGTTTAAGCACATGGTAACAATACTTTAACAAACATAATCACCATTTTCTAAAAGGGAAGACTCAGAAACTCTGACATCCGGGAAATTCAAAGTAGGAGTTATTTGGCCAAGGCTTGGACTGCACATTACAGGGTGAGAGGAGCGATGAGCCAGGGATGGAGAAGAGTCAAGTGACGATCAGATAGGCCCCTTCTGCTGCTCTGCTCTGCCCTTCTTGTACCTCTGACCTCATACCAACTCACGAAGAAGTGGCTGCTCTGGCCCAAGGCATCATGCTCTCATTCCAGAAAAAAAGAAAGGGAGGAGCAAAATCCAACGCCTCTCCAGAGGCCTTGTCTTTCTGCGGCCACAAAGGAGGTGAGCAATGTGAGAATCTTGTTTCCTACCCATTATGCAACGGAAAACAGGAGGAAAATGAGTTGGATGGGTGTTGAATGAAACTCCCAGTAGTACAATAACTTTGACATTCACTCCAGTAAATGCTGTGTGGATAAAAAAAGAGGGTCCAGCCTTGCCTTGAGGCTCCTATTAGCTAGTCTTTTTTTTTTTTTTAACTTTATCTCTGTTCTCTTCAACCAGCCAAATAGCCAAACTTCCCCCCTCCTTCTCTCTCTCTCTCTCTCTCTCTCTCTCTCTCTCTCTCTCTCTCGCTCTTTCTCTCTCTCTCTCCTCCTCCTTCTCCCCCCACCCCTTTTTTCTTTCTGCTATGCCCAAGGTACCCTTCCTTCCCAATCCTCCAACAACTTGGTCTGAGTTTCCACATGTGAAGGCAGTGATCACTCCTTTAGCAGTGATCACTCCTTTAGGAAAACCAGGATCGAGAGACTTACGGAAATGCCATGATATGATCAGATGTGTATTTTAGAAAGATTCCCCTGCATGGGGCAACAGGGCAATTAGGATGGTTGCCTGCAAGTTGTCTAGAGAGATGTTCGGTGAAATGGCATGGGAAGGCGAGATCAAGTGGATGAGA